TTCTATTGTTTTTCTGTTGTAACCATTTCATTCAATGTTTTGGATTACTTGGTATAAATGGTGGTGGTAACAACTACGTTTAGACTATTGACTGGTGATCTACCAATCACATCGGGTGATGCTTATCTCCATGGATACAGGTAAACAATCCACCATTTTGTTTAGTACTGGTTCAGATGCAGTTTTAAAACGAAAACTTATGTTTTGACCTCTTTGCTGTGCCTCAACCACCTGGAGTGAAATAACTTGTTTTCCTTGATTATCTATGGTTGTTAATATTAAAGTAGCAGTGTCACATTTGATCAGTTGTTTTGGAATATTATCAACACTACAGTTTTGTTGACATGCGTTTGTTGCCAGCACCTAAAATGCACAACTATTGAAGGCAGAGTACCCCGGGCCCCATGTTGGCCATGTACGATGATTAATTATAAATAAATAGTAATTACTGGTATGGCTTATTCTTGTATTTCACATTGCATAACTGTTGTATAATGCGACAAGACATTATAAGAAATGATCACTGTCACTATTTGTAAGTTTTGCTAAGAGGGTTTTGTCTGGATACGATTTTTTTTTTATTCTACGATTATGATATCATAAGTGTTAAATATAAAATCCTGTTTGAAATGCTATTACACGACAATTAAGAAATCAAGACAACTTTTTGTAGAGAAATAAACCACCAACACAGTGCTAAAGTTTCAAAGGACACAAACCTGTGAACTAACTTTTCAAGATGGCTGCTTTTGTTATGTAAAGTATTTCCTTGTATGTGCAGACAATTGTTAAATATTTTGAATACAATTCTCGCAATCAATGCATATTTTATATTTTTGTTATTATAAATTAGAGATAACATAAATGTTTGTTTCTTGTGAGATGTAGTAATTGAATCTTTATTTACTATGTAAGAATACCCTGGTGCATCTGTTGCACATTTCAGTCTGTTCACACAGTATAATAAATAGTTTTTCACACCCACCCTTATACGATATATATGAACTTCTGCCGAAAACACCAGGCATGGTTAAATGAAAATGGTCTTACCCATTGAACTCGCTGTCAACATATTTATAAAAAAAAATTATGTCCTTTATAAAGTCTCTGTTCTTGTTACCTACCTGTATTTTAGATTCAACAGCTTACATAGGTTCCTGTACCAGTCACGTCAAACAACTTCTCACTTGTATTGTGTATGCAACTACTCACTTAAAGCTGGGCTTTGTGACAGTTTTCACGTGACCCGCGACCTTTGACATGTGCCTGTTACTGCTTGATAAAGCAGTTCTCTGTTTGTTGTTGTTACAGTGTAAAACAGTCTTCTCTTTTACACTAAGGGATCAACCATTAGAAACTATGGGAGTGTAAGTGGTAGATGGTAGAAAAACTGCAAATGTCCTTGCATTAGTTTTGAGCAAGAGATTTGTTTTTCTATGCCAAATGTGTGTTATTTTTTTATACATATGTAAATATAAATTTAGTTTCTGCACAAAAGTCTAAATGCTTATTGATTGGGTTTTGACTGTCACTCCCTCCCATCTTCCTTTTCTACATCTGTTTATCTGTTTGTTAGTTAGTTAGTTTGTTAGATTTATTTCAGCAATGACAACATACCGTACTCATACCCATACTTTTTCGGTGAGATTTAATTATCCATGTGTGGTTATATTTAAACAAAAACAATTTCAAAATTACAGCTATTGTAACTTGTAAATTGTTATTTTGTTAGATTTCCATTTATGCTTGATGAACATAAATTCTTTGTAATGTTACAAGAGACATTCATCAGGTGTACAAACATATTGGATATTGTCCACAGTTTGATGCTTTGTATGATAAGTTGACTGCCCGGGAACATCTACATATATATGCAAGATTACGTGGTATACTGAAACAACAAAGGCACAAGGTAGGTACAGCTGATGGAAAGTACTAAATACATTGATTGAATTCTTTAAGCCCTCGGTTTCCACAGGAATGGTTAAAATAAATAATAATATATGTGCATACATAATGAGGTATCAAAAGTGTTCTCAATGGAGCGAAATTATATAGCCTAGAAGTCAATTCACCAGTCCAGCTAACTATGGCTCCCTAAGTTGTTTATATTTAATCAGATACTATTTCGTCATCATGCTGTGTTACCTTTCCTGTTTATACCTCATGAGGGCGTTTTTTATGGCAAGAAGGCGCAAACGGAAGTCCTTCGCAGGTTTAAGGTTTCTCATATTTAAATCATCATAACTGAAGATAATCATTTTTTTTATTTTTTTTTTCAAATTTATAATCAATATACATAACTTGATAAATACAAACACCAAATTAGGCTCTATTTAGTTCCCCTTTAATAG